ATTATCTCCATATATATAGGCTTTGTTCTGAATGACTGACGGAGCAACCTACAGCTTAAATCATTGATCATACAGAAATTAGAGAAGAGAATAGGTAGCGGAATAATCCGAATTTTGTGAAATAGTCGTATTTATATATAGAATGTTTGTCAGTATGTGGAAGACTTTTCTTGTCGGGAAGTGTACCTCATACCGATCTATTGGAAATAACTGTATTTAGGGTTCGATTTTGCTGATATTTGCAAAAGCTATAGCTCTGCATATATTAATGCAGGGTTTTAAGAGGCCTTCTTTTTATGAAATATTCCAACACCAAATCGCTAAGTGACTGTTGTATACCCTCAATAGCTTCACCAATACCGTATTTGAGGCCTTGAATCGTTGTTGTTCTGTTGGCGTAGATTTTATCTTTCACGTGACCCCAAAGAAAGAAGTCGCAAGGTGTTAAATCACAAGATATAGATGGCCAATTTTGATCACCTCTTCGAGAGGTACCGCTGTTCGGAAGTTTTTCGGTGGTTTCGTTGTTTGTGCGGCACTTAGCGCGGTCTTGTTGTAAACGTAAAGATGGTAAAAGTAAAAGATGGCCAGCTTAATACCAGCAATGACACAATGTTTTAGATGATCGGTCGGCTTTAGATCTTGTATTTACTGAACTTAATAAGCCATGATACCCAAGTAATTACGGTGTGATGGCGTTTGTGGAATGTTCAATTCCAAAGAACACTTTAGGCTATTGCGGCAATATTCTCAGCTGTTCGTGAGCGGCGTGCACGTGTTTTATTCTTCACATCACGAACTTCTCACGAGAGCTCCATTTTCCATCAATTACTGTATTCCAAGGTGCTTCACAAGGCCGGAAAATATTTTAGTTTTCAACCATTTTTGTAGTAAATTTTAATAATTTCAATGTGTTGTTGAAGCGTGTATCGTTCCATCTTCTTTGCTGGCGAAACTTTTACTTGTTTATAAATAGATTTCCTCTTCGGGAAGTGGGCCTGGAAAGCTATAAGTTTGCTAAAACCGTTTTCAGATTTCAAGCAGATAAAGTAGCTGGTAAAAGCTACTTAGCTCTTCTTTTCAGAAACGGTATGTGTCTTTTCCATGAGTGTACAGAGGCCTGCGGAAAGCTGATTGGTACTTGGCATACTCCATGAATGTAGAATTTTTTTAAATTCTGGCCGATGCTTTCTATAGAGTATATTACTCACTGCCACCCATTCAGCTAAAACTGTCCTTGGATTAGGCAATCTTTCAATGTGTAGAAGATAACGAGATTTTACACATTTCTTGGTAGGAAATATAAGTTACAGCCTGTTTTGTATATAGAATAGTCAAGCAACACAACTTGGTACTTTTCAAGCATGACATTTTATTGTAGATAATTTATTCTATATTTACACAGTTCTGTTTTTATGACGATAGTATATTGGTTGTAAAACAATAAATTTTGAAAATTCATAGGTGTCCTTATCGGGCCAAAAATAGTATTGATTACGGAAGATACATTATAAAGTATATAAATACGCCAGACAAAATATTATATGCATGTATGTATAATACATATATACATATAAGACATTTTGCTCTGCAGAACTTTATTACAAATTACATATCAGAAAATTACACCCATTTTATTGCAATAGACATATGGATGTATAATAATATAATTTGTGAAAATTATTCACATTTATATAATTTATGAAATCGACTTGTGCACATCGGTTTGACGAGATAACGGAATAGTAATTACATTCCCTTTAGCATTGCAACCCACCTGGGTTATGAATAATGCATATGTTCAAAGGTATAGCGACATATATATATGTTCATTCAGTTAGTCAATGAGTTTTATATATTTTCCAACAAATGATCTCCCAGGTTCAGAAATTAGTGGCCAACGGATTTTGGGCATCCATTTTCCATTGGCTGGGAAAAATATCAAGAAGCACACCATAAATTAGACGAAGCGTTCTGCCGATTGTATACGGTCGAAGTTACCTTTACAGAGTTAAATGATAGTAGACGCAAGGTTCTTTCTTGAACCCTTTTGGAACCTTGTCACGCATTACTGAAATTCGAAAAGACTTATCTGTGAGCAACAGTAATATTTGCTAAGCAAAACAAGAATTTATTTATCGCTTATTTAGCGCTTATAATATTTCATGCCTTGTTGCAACTGAAAAATGGAAATTTATTATAGGCCTTTGTCAAGCCATTTTGGCAGGCCATTACTCCCCATAAAAATGGCAAATTCTCTTATTTTCCCAAGTATTTAGTGAGCCAATTTTCCTTTTCTATTATTGCACGTAGCCAAACTTGGTGTTCCTGGCTAGTTTTTGCGGCCGAGTTTTACCTAAACCGATTTTTTTTACTGAACCGATTTTGATCAAATCTCGCATTCACCTCTGCGACTTAAAGAAAGGATACTATTTTCCGCTAAGCGGACTATACACCGTTCTTTCAGAGAAATTCTTCTGTGATATATTAATTTATAGACCCGATTCGCTTGGAATTTTAAGCGTGAGTTTCTATTTGACTACGTTAACATGCAGTGTTTGCTTGGGTTCTAAACCGGGCACTGATATGTTGGCAAATGTGGTGTGTATGGATCCATTTTGTTGTAACGTGCTAGGGTGCACGGCAACTATGAGAACTCAATATTCCGTTATTGTTGGGCAAATCGATTCCCGTTCGTTGCTCCACTACACAAATTTTTAAATTTTCAATTTGTTTTGTTAAACGTTGTTTGGCCTTTCAATTAGTTTTTCACCTCTCATAAATATATTTAGAATTATAGAAAGGAGTTCCCAAAAAATGTTAAAATTTTGGCTCGAGCTCGTCCTCGAAAAATTGCAAAGCTTGAGTGATAAGTAATGGTACTTGTATTCGTTTTTCAAAACCTCGAGCAGCTTGAAAATGTTCGAACAAAATATTGAGCTCTATTTTGTACCGCTTCTTGCTACATAAATCTGTTAGCTGAACAAATTTAATCTACCCTTTGTAAAGTTGGGCATACAAATCTTGATGCCCCCGAACTCTCTTGACCTCTTGATCACCAACGGATGCAGCACCGAAAGTATTTAGAGGTTTCTTGGAACCTCTTGTTTTCGATTGGCATTAAGAGGAAATACAAAAAAATCTTCAATATGCAGAGGAAAACAATTCCGTGAATTTGATTTAAGCACCTACACATACATAATTTGATTTTTGGTGTAACGAAATCAATTTAACAAGAAGTTCAGGTACAATAAGTACAATATTAATTTCTGTAATTAATAAATTAAATTTAATGAGTAATAGTTTTAAATTATATATACGAGTACATATAATAGGCATTTTGTAGGGCAACAGCCATTTTCGGCCGAGCTCCTCCTCCAATTTGTGGTATGTGTCTCTTCCAACAAATGGAGGGACCGATAGTTTATTCTAAACCGTCTTTGATCTGATAAAAATATTTTGTTAAGAGCTTTAATTTCATGTGAGAAATATTCCTTGCCGAGCGGCGGCCGCAATTAAATGAATTAATTTTTATATAACTTTGGATGTTGGTCGGGCCAAAACTCGAACTCTGACCTTACGAATGGTAGTACGCAATCATAACCACTTGGCTATTGTGACCACAGACTAGTACATCGCAATATACTAGATGTTAATTCATTTTAAATTTTGTACACTTTCATAAGATGTGATAAATATGCATTATCTGCTACCCAATTGCTCTATATCCACATGTATATACATACATATGGATATTCACCTAATAAAAATCGTCATTTCATATCCCATGAAAAGAATTGCGTTGTTTTGCAATTCCTTTCTATTAAAACTCAGCTGTTGCTTATTTGTGGATATACATATGCACACAATTGCTTGTGTACCTTCCATATGTTGTTTAATGATTTTACCCAGCGAGTGTAAAATCATACTTTTGTATGGGTGTTTTTGTACTCAATAAATGAATTGTTGGCCCCATCGGCGCTCACACATATGAGTCACAATTTTTCTCTTTAATAATAATGAAACAAATGAAACAACAAATACAAAAACAGCAGTAAATAACTTGAAAATTCAGCTAAACAGCAATAAATGTAGACACAAGAGCGAAAAACGAGTAAAATATATGTACGAGTATATTAAACAGATACATGAAATACCAGCAAACATATATGTATGTATGTCTGTATGTCGCTGTAACAACATTGATTGCATTATACGTATGTATGTGAAGTTAATTTAGTACGATAAACAGGGTTGCATTAAACTGAAAATTAAACGTCTTAAAATGTATGAATTTTTCACGTGAGAAATTTCATAGATATATTTTTTATCAACTTACTACTTTTCCTTCCTTCCAAATACATAATTCTTCTATAATAAATAAGAAGTTATTTTTATTTTTCTTGCACTCGTAGAAGTAAACTGATTGTATTAATAACGAATTGCTCAAAAGTCGAAGAAATTGAAAATAATAATAAATAATTAAAAAAATTAGGGCAATGAAAAATAAGAATAAACCAAATGATAATAAATATTATATATAAAAAATATATTAATCAATGAAATAAAAAAAATAATAAATTAATATAATAATATAATTAATGATAAATAAAAAAAAATAATAATAAATAAATAAAAAAGTATAATAAAAAAATAAATTAAAACTAATAATAGGTAAATAAAAAGTAATAGCAAATAAATATGGCAATAAATAAAACAATACATAAAAAAGTAAAGAAAGCAATAACAATAATAAAAAATAGTAATAATAAATAACAAATAATAAAAAGTACATAAAAATAGCAATAAATAAAAAAATAAGATATAATAATAACAAAATGTTAAAATTAAGAGTAATCTGAACAATAAAGAGTAATATTAAATAAACAATGTTAATAAATTAATTAAAAAAATTGTAATAAAATAAATAAAAAAATAATAATAAAATAAGTAAAAAAAATAATAAAATAAATAAAAAAAAAATAATAAAATAAATAAAAAAAATAATAAATATAAACATTTATTTAATAAGTGTCTTTGCATTTTTAATCTTACAACCCATCTTGTGTTGAAAAATTATTGAAAATTTCATTTAATCACATTTATAGGAAACCATTCTTGCAGCTCGCTTTGCGCGAAACATGTCCAGAAGAAAAGAATACACTAAATTATGTGTTAGCCTGAACTGAATGTTTTTTGATTTTTGCTTCTTTTTTCGTTAGTTTTTTGAAACGATAAATTCATAACGTTTGAAATTAAAATTATCGTATATTAAAAAATGTTTTTTCGTATTTGATTGCGATTGGTATTCTGGCTGAGTTTCATTCTGTAAATTAAAAAACCTTAAATTTTCTACCACCTCCCAATATCCACAAAAGACCGTTATTTTCATGTCAGAAATCACTCAAAGGCCAACATGTTTCAATTTATAATGTTCAAAGATATCGATTAGATGTTTCAATTTATAATGTTCAAAGACATCGATTAGATGTATAACCTTAACCTCAAAATTTTGATATTTTGACTTGCCAAAAAGCATTGCACTCTCTTTACAGTTAGTTGACGAGAGCGGTTTTCATACCTCTATGAAATTGTCACCAATGCGCAAGTACTCTTTGCCAATTCGGCTTGCAAAATTGTGAATGAAAAAAGATAGGGAAAATCGAGACAAAAACAAAGCGAAAAACAGGCATGTGAACTAAGAGCATTCGCTACTGTTGACTTGGTATACTCCGTTTGTATACACACGCGAATACTCGCCAGCGCAATACAACACTGTGTTATTTCAACACGACCAGCCTGCCAGTCAGCAATTCTCTCTTCACCATCAGATACAATACCAGCAGTTCTAATGTGTTGTCGTGGTATGCGTTGAAATTAGTGTAGGAAAACAGTTGATGAAGTGAAACGTTTGTGCCAGTGAATCTCCCTTGTATCGATTAAGTTGTGTCAAAAGTATAGAAAACAAAGAAAATTTAATAAAATTGTATAAATTTTGTTTCAAATGTATGATCCAAGAAATTATTTTCCAAAGAACTACCATTCCACTGGAATAGGTTTAGTGAATTTAGCCGCACTTGGCTATAATAAAAATGAACAAGATGGTGGTGGTAGTAGTGAGCCACCAAAGACTGGTCTTTATCCAGCGCTGCCGTATCCCACAGCACCACCAGATCCAAGCGGTGTAAGTTTAAGCTATGGTATGCCAACGCCACCAACACAAATGCCGGGCTACGCTTCATCTGCGGCACCATATCCGCCATCACCAGCCGCACCGTATCCGCCACGACAGTCGCTGTATCCGACCTTGGGGCCGCAACCTTCACAAAATTTGCCATACCCCACTGGCATGCCACAACCGTTTGCGCCGTACTCATCGGCACCATATCCGACTGCGTATCCGACACCGTATCCTCCAGCTGCGGCGCCAGCTTTGCCCTATCCAACAACAATGCCAAGTGGCATGCCGCTGCCATATAGTGTGCCACCGCCAACGTCACCATCCAGCCTTTATCCGACTATACCAACGCTGCCAGATGGTGCTATGCCAACGTATGGTGGTGGTGGCGGTTGCCTTGTAAGTGAGGCAGCGAATGAAAAATTACCCTCACCCGAGGAGGAGCCCTCTGTAGGTGTACCGGAGATACCTTTCTCCGCTGTTCAGGTGCCTGAAAGCGAGAATATGTTTTGGATGAAGGAGAAAACAAGTGAGTCGCGTCCGCAAGATGATTCACATGTGCCATATGAAACATTACGTGGTAGTTGCTTAGACAATGGCACACTTTTTGAGGATCCAGCATTTCCAGCGAATAATGACTCACTCATGTTTTCACGTCGACCAGATCGCTACATCGAATGGCTGCGCCCGCACGAAATTACCGATGATCCGCAGTTCTTTGTTGACGGTTATTCACGTTTCGATGTGCAGCAAGGTGAATTAGGTGATTGTTGGCTGTTGGCTGCGGCAGCGAACTTGACTTCAGATCCAAACTTGTTCTTCCGTGTTGTGCCGCCAGATCAGAATTTCGAAGAAAATTATGCGGGCATATTTCATTTTTGTTTCTGGCAGTATGGTAAATGGATAGAAGTTGTGGTGGATGATCGATTACCAACATACCGTGGAGAATTGATATATATGCATTCCACGGAGCGCAATGAATTCTGGAGTGCTTTGTTGGAAAAAGCATACGCTAAACTACACGGCTCCTATGAAGCCCTCAAAGGCGGTACTACTTGCGAGGCTATGGAAGACTTTACTGGTGGTGTTACCGAATGGTATGACTTGAAGGAGGCACCGCCTAATCTATTTAATATACTCGTCAAAGCAATGAATCGTAATTCATTGATGGGCTGTTCTTTAGAGCCCGATCCAAATGTATTTGAAGCTGAAACTCCACAAGGTCTTATACGTGGCCATGCCTATTCAATATCGCGTGTGTGCATGATCGACATACATACCCCCAACCGTCAGGGTAAACTACCAATGATACGTATGCGTAATCCCTGGGGCAATGATGCCGAATGGAATGGCCCATTTAGTGATAACTCAGCAGAATGGCGTTATATACCTGAACACCAGAAAGAAGAGCTGGGCCTTACTTTCGACGCAGACGGCGAGTTTTGGATGCCTTTCCAAGAATTTCTTAACAATTTCGATCGTGTAGAAATTTGTAATTTATCGCCAGACTCACTGACCGAAGAACAAGAAGATAGTGGTAAGCGAAAGTGGGAGATGAAGATGTTTGAAGGCGAATGGACAGCCAATGTTACTGCTGGTGGCTGCCGTAATTTCTTGGAAACCTTCTGGCATAATCCGCAATATGTAATCACGCTCACGGATCCTGATGAAGATGATGATGATGGCAAGTGTACTGTTATAGTTGCTTTGATGCAGAAGAATCGTCGATCGAAACGCAATCGTGGTATGGAATGTCTAACTATAGGTTTTGCAATTTATCATTTAACCGATCGTGATATGGAAACACGGCCGCAGGGTTTGAACTTCTTTAAATATCGTGCTTCGGTAGCACGTTCGCCACATTTCATCAATACACGTGAGATATGTGCGCGTTTCAAGTTGCCACCTGGTAATTACCTCATCGTGCCTTCAACCTTCGATCCCAATGAGGAGGGTGAGTACATTATACGTGTGTTCTCTGAGACGGCCAACGTTATGGACGAGAACGATGATTCAGTTGGTTATTGTGATGTTGATGATCGCATCAAACCAAATATACCGCCACCACGCGAAGAAGATCCACAGCGTGAGAATTTGCGACGTCTTTTCAAGAGTATCGCTGGTAGTGACATGGAGGTAGATTGGATGGAACTCAAACGTATACTTGATCATTCACTGCGTGATGTCATGATTGATGGCAACACATTTTCGAAAGATGCTTGCCGTTCTATGGTGGCAATGATGGACAAAGATCAATCGGGCAATTTGGGTTTCGACGAATTTGAGTCACTTCTTACAGACATCGCAAAATGGAAAGCCGTATTTAAATTCTACGATCGTAATCATAGTGGCGAAATAGAAAGTTTTCAATTGCGTGACGCGCTCAATTCAGCTGGTTACCGCCTAAACAATCGAGTACTCAATGCATTGGGCCGCCGTTATACGTCACGGGAGGGTAAAATCACCTTTGATGACTTTTTAATGTGTTCGGTGAAGACAAAGACCTACATCGATATATTCCGCGAACGCCAAAGCGATGAGTCGAATCATGCGACATTTAGCATGGATGAATGGCTTGAACGAACCGCCTACTCGTAAGCGTGCTGATGACTGCTGGGCTTGCTGTCGTACTGGAACCGGTTTTTCCACTATTATTGCTGCTGCTGCTGCTTTAGACGATATTGAACTACGCATGCCGGCACCGGTCGCATGTACCAGTACACTGCAGTTAAAAAATAACCAGCGCTACCTACCTTAACAAATACTTTAAATAATTATATCTATATACATACATACATTTATACATATGTGTATATTTTGTATTTCATCAATTAACACGAATCATTATGAGTAATGAAAATGAAGAGGAAAAATCAGCCGAAAATGAAATGAAACAAAAATAAGTATTCGAAGCTTTTACATACATACATACATATATCCATGCAAACATAAATGTACAATCCAATGTGTAATACATACTATATATACAAAGCGAGTGCAAATTTTAAGACTTTAAAGCAAAGCAACAACTTCAAAGATGTACGTTAGTATAATAAATAAAACGAGTTTTCTTATATATACCTGTTATTTAAACGCATATATTTATTTCGTATAGACATATATGAATGAGTTTAATTGTTCTGCATTTGATTTTTGGAAACTTGGGTGTGTGGGCTAGATAATGACATACCTCGTAACTGTAATTGAGATTTTATTAAATAAGTTGGTATGCAAGAAAAGTTTTAAAATATTTATATATATATATTAATTATTTATTTAATTACTTAATTACTCATGTTTTTGTTTTTTTTTTTTTTGTGAAATGATTTTAATTAATTTTTTCAAATTAACTACCTATTTTTAATTTAATTTAATTTTTGTTAAATTTTTTTAATTTTATTTTGTTTTAATAGTAATATTAAACATTTTTGTTTTAATCATTTGTTTAATTGTTTATATATTACTTTAATTTTTATTTTCGTTGTGCTGATTCATAACATAATATCACGTTTTTTTCAGTGTATTTCCTAGTATTTATTTAATTTTTATTTGATATTTTTTATTTGTTTGATTTTAATTTATTTTTTTTTTTAATTTTTTTTATTTAAATAAATTTAATTTAATTTTATTTATATTTATATTTATATTTATATTTATATTTATATTTATATTTATATTTATATTTATATTTATATTTATATTTATATTTATATTTATCATTATATTTATATTTATATTTGTATTTATATTTATATTTATATTTATATTTATATTTATATTTATATTTATATTTATATTTATATTTATATTTATATTTATATTTATATTTATATTTATTTTATTTATTTTTATTTAATTTAATTTTTTTAAAACAATATTTTTTTACTATTGTATATTTGAATTAATTTTTTATTTAATTATTTAAATTCAATATTTTTTATTTCATTTTAATATTTATTTAATTTTTTTAAGTTTTTTTATTTATTTGTTTTTATTTTATTTTCTTTTACTATAATTTTATTGTATTATTCGATTATATTTTATTTTATTATGTATTTCTATTTTATTGTTTTTTATTTTGATTTTATTGTATTTAAATTTATTTAATTTGGTATTATATTATTTAATTTTTATGTTTTTAGTGTATTTTTTATGAAATTATTTTATGCATTTTTGTTTAATTGAAATAATTTTTATCTTTGTTTTATTACATTGTAATTGTTTTTAAAGCATTTTTTCATTGGATATGATTTATTTATATATTATACTATAAGTATAATAATTTATTTTTAATATTTTATTTGTTTTTTTTTTTGTTGTAAATGATTATATATATTTGTTTAAATTCGTTTTATTTATAAATATTTTTTGTGTATTTATTTGGATTTTATGTTATCTTATTTTATTCAATTTTAAAATATATGTATTATTATTAATATTATTTATTTTACTTTTTTAATTTATTTTATCGTACTTTATTTTATTTTGCTTTACTTTATTTTACTTTATTTTATTTTACTTTATTTAGACTAAATGAATTTTGCTTGATTTAATTTAAAAATACAATATAATATTGATATTTTAAATTTTAATGCTACATATTTTAATATTTACTTTTCTGGAGTTCGTTGCCTTTGTTATGTGGTGCGCCAGTCGTTAGTGACGCTCTATTAATATACAACTTTGTGTCAGTGAAAAGTAGCATTTGTAGTGCTGTCCATGTTCGTGGGCCGCGATCGCTGGTTGCTTGCTGCTCCCATTTTATGAAATTTGTTTCATTTCGTATTTTTCTGTTTTATATTGTAATCAATTTTTATTTATTTTGTTAATTAATCTTATTTTATTCATTGCAGATTAAATTTACCTATTTTATTTTACATGATTTAAATGTACTATTTATCATTTTGTTTTTTATTTATTATTTGGTTATATTTTCTATTTTAAAAATTATTTCCGTTGACAATCCATTTGATTAAAAGGAAACATATTAGTTATATTAAAAAAGTAATCAATAACTGGACTTAATTCTTCTTAATAAATTATAATCTCGTTGCGCTGCTGCCGCCATGGAAGTCACGTTGCAAAATCGCTTATTTTCTATTCGTTGCTTTATCGGCGAATTATTGTTTACAGCGTCATTTCAAATTACCAACACCTACATTGACTCCACTACATGCAAACTATACATACGTATAGGGTATGACTTGTTGAGTCGTTCGTTAGTGGAAATTGTTTATGTATTTTTGCTGTTTACTTTTATTTTTATTTTGTGATTTCGCAATTTTGTTTGGGCAAAATTTCTGTGTCGGCCGGTGCCTAGTACCTCACTACAAAGCAAAGCGGGCCGACAATGAGGTTGGCATTTCGTGCTTAGCTGAGTGCAATAATGACGTTACTTTATATTACATATGTACGTACATTGTACGTGTGTCAGTAAGCACTCCCACTTATATACTTGTTTTATGTATATATTGTACATATGTGCAAGTATATATGCATTTTTTGCTTTGAATTTTGTTTGTTTGTTTGTTTTGGTATGATTCGGTGTTGAGGAAGTTGATAAATATTACTGACAATTTAGTCCAAAATTATTATTTTATTTTAAATATATAACGAGAAGTACCGATACGAGTAGTTTGTTGTTGATGCACGTTGCTGAGGAAACTTGTTGCTTATTCAATGAACACTGGGGAAACATAAAAGTTACATATAGCACAGTTCTAAACAGCTGACTTTGCATGCAGTTTCTGGGCTGGGCACGTTCGTTCTCACGCTATACACGTTTATGGTATATATTTGTAAAACAAAAATGTACATCTAGGCAAAAAAGTTAGCTTAAGCGGAATCGTCATTTCAAAAAATAAAAATAAAAATAAAAACAAAAACATATGCAACAGTTGCGACCCATATAAGGCTTTTCGCAAGGTTGCAACCTATTTCAAAATTATATATAATGAATAAATCTGAACATAAAAATACGCTTTGATCTTAAGACGTATTTTGGAGTAAAATATTGTATCTATTTTGCGGCTTAGAAAAAAAAATTCAAAAAAATGCATTTAAAATAATTATTTTCATAAAAATTCCTTTTATACTATAACATTCAAATTCGCGAGGCCGTTTACCCAAACTTCGATTAATTTGATATAAATTTCGACCTAATTTCGACAGATGTTGGGCGGTATCTCAGCTATAACTTGACGAATAGTGGGCTTCAAGTGCTATAGAGTTAAAGGTTTCTCCACATAAATGCGGTCTTTCGTGTAGAAAAAGCCCCACGGTGTCATATCGCACGATCTCTCTAGTGGCAATTGACATCGCCAAGACGAGAGTTTACGTGGCTGCGAAATTTCTCCCGCAATAAAGCCAAATTCGTGTTGCGTGGCATGTGAGACCATCTTGTTAAAAAAGTCGGTTATTATACGACCAATACGCTCCAAATTGACAGTGACTGTCTCGCCGTTTTAATTTGCAAAGAAGTAAGGTCTAATCGCACCTCCAAAGCACAGCGATAGCCTCTCTTCAATTATTTGACGATTCTCGGAGCCTCAAAAGCGACAATTTTGCTTATCCCCCGAATGAGAATTGTGCCTCGTCGCTGAGGAAAATATTTTTCGGAAAATTGCCGTCAACTGCTTGTTGTGCAATCGATGTCTGTATGGCGTTGTGATTGGTCAGCAGGCGATGTTGGTATAGGTCCAATCGTAAAATACGCCATTATGTGCCGTAAGAAAGCGTCAACTCTTGTGAATTTCGAGAAACAGGCACATTCGGCTACACTTCCACTTACAGTAGCATTATTTTGAGTGAAACGAAAAAAAGGATGGTTCATAGGTCTTACTATATCTCTAACCGAATCAGTATTTTCAAAATTATTTTAAAATATAAACAGTTCCTTGAATAATTTAACTAAAAAAACATCCGTGGTTTGATAGGGTTAAGTTTGAGAGATATCAAAATACGACCGGGTATTTTTGAAATCGCAAAATGGAAAATCTTATGCATGTAAATTTTCACCAGCATCTGGTATCTATGAATCTAGTTCGGTGAGATTTTATTGCTTCCTTTTCTTGGTTTTGTTTACTTGATGAAATATACAAAATAAGAATTTTACTTGAATTTTCAGCACATATACATACATGAATATAAAACAATGCTTACAAAAGTTTTCTACTGCAATTTTCGGCAGTAGAGATTACTTGAATCGATTACGAAAGTAAATATTGCTATTTGTTATTACTTTTTTTATAAATTCGCTTAGTTCTACTATTAATATTTCTACATCTGCCTGCTTTCTCTGTTAATAGCGCTCAGATTGTCTGGTGTCTTGTTTTTTTTTTTTTTTTTTGAATCATTAACCTGTTTGATCATAAATTTATTTTAAAAACATGAATCAGAGCAAATATTTACTTATTAGGATAATTAACTTCTCAGGTTATATGTTATATATATAAACATATTTTTTGATAAAAAGCGTGTGTTGACTTATGACTGCTCTTACAGTCACTATTGGGCATCTTAATCAAATGAGATTAGCGCATTGGGAGTTTATTTGGTGTTGTAAGATAAGCAGATTGGATAGTATAATAAAATGGCTTCGGAAATCCCACTTCCTTCATTGCGTTACCTATATGTATTATGATTATAATAGTTGTATTATTTAATGAGCAACATACTACTCTGATCCTGCTACATTCCTCTCTTTTGGCATTGTCACCGCTTACGCGATTATAGCCGAATAGCGGGTCAGTCATTTTTTCATCAATAAAAGCCATGTTCTTGTTCATCTGATTTGTTTCACCTGAGTGGAGGTCTTGCTTTTCCTCTACTACAACCAACCGATGCTGCACCAAATACTTGCGGAGCTGGAGTGTTTTCATTCGTCCGCTGTTGTTAACTCGACCCTCCTCTGGGATATTCGTCATCGCTCATACCGCAATTAAAGCCTCCCAAAAACCGACTCATCGGATGTTATTAACGTCCGCTGTTCTGCAACATAAAGTGAGACGGGAATATAGTCTTTGTTCGTCGAGAGGAACCTTACATTTTAATTCCTACTCAGTTTACAGTATTAGAAAGCCTTAGCG